TTTTTTTTTTAACAATTAAATTTTAAAAAATTTTGTTTATATTGTTCTGTTCTTAATGTGTATTATATAGTGGCCGTCGATTGTGACGGATACTTTTGTATTAATTTATTTTTGAACTTGTTTTGTAATAATATAATAATTAATTCTTGTTGTTTTATTGATTATTTATTTCACATGATGTATGTTGTTTTCTTTCTACAATTGTATTGTAATAACTGGTGCTTCTTTCACTTCATGATTTTTGCTTTACAAAAATTATTTTGGCATTGTTATTGCTTGCTTTAGTTGTAGTCTTCAGCGCTCTCTTAATTTTAATAATATTATAAATTGATATGTTCAAGCTTTTTTACTACTGTCTGATTGTCTTCTTGCTTTGCAGAAATAAAAGTTGTAATGTTGACTTATTGGAATCAGCATTATTCATGGATATATCGTCTTCATGCAGTACTGATATAGAAATGGATTTACTCTGCTTTCGTACATGAATCTTCTTAAATTCACGACAGCACTAGTTGGATGATATTCTGCAATTAAGGCTATAAATGAATGAATGAGTGATCGGATGATTCACTCATTTATAATTAGAAGACAAAAGAACTAAGTTGCTCTATTATGTGTCAATATTTGTGCTCATGGAGAAGTGTTGAAAAAACAAGCGTCATAAAACAAAATAAAGATTCAGCAGTGAGTTTAGCGCTTATGAATTCTGACAAGTTCCTAATTCGCAATTTATTCAAACAATGAATATGATGATGAGAATAAATTATTTCTTATCGATACTGGTAGACGGAATTGCTGAAATATTTACTGTGGGGAGAAAAGACAATTAATTTATTAAGGAATGGCAGTTACTGTAGTGACAGAAGCTGTAATAGCAGAAGTTAATGTGGTCACAGAATGTAATTACTGTAGTGACGGAAGATAATTACTCAAACAGCAGAGAACTGTTACTGTAGAGGTAGAATATAGCCACTGTAGAAAATAATGTAGTGACAGAAGATATTTACTGTAGTGATAGATGATAAGTTGAGTGACATAAGATAATTACCGTTGAAATAAAAGATAATTACTGTAGTGACAGACTCTGTAATCAGTTGAAGGATTTCATCTTATAAACTGCGATTTGTTACAAAAAGTAATACTGCTAATAATTATTGACTATGTAATAAACTCGCAGTGTGAGAAATGGTAACTAAGAAATATACAAATAAAATGTGGAGGTTAGTTTTAATCTTGCTTTATTGGTTCTGGCGGTGGATCGCATTCCGGCACTCTGGTAGGATTTGTCCTACGCCCAGATTTGTTGTGCTCATCGCTCTCGCTTCGTCCTCGTGGAATCCATATCGATTCTCGAAGGAGATGCTTTCGAACGTCTTCTACGTGGTCTGATATACTGATCTCCTTTGCATAGCGTTTGTGGAAGCTCGTTACAATCCCATCCCAAGTCATCACATACGGAATTATTTAGGTCCTGCATTTTATCTCTGACACAAGCTTTTTAACAAGTAGGTCATA